CTCGTAGATGTGAGCATCCCAGCCGATAACAACCTCCAAGAGAAGACCAGGGAGAAGCTGGAAAAATACTCCGAACTGAAAGTGGAAGTGGAACAGTTGTGCGGAATGAAGACCACCATAGTTCCGATCATCATAGGCACAACTGGCGTCGTCCTGAAAGACCTCAAAGGACATGTCAAGAAGCTGGAGTGTGAAATATCACTGGATATTCTCCAGCGTACAGCAATCTTGGGCACGGCCAGCATCCTTCGCCGTGTCCTTCAGAATTAAGACGAGTATGAGGTCTGGGATGTGGTTCATCCCCCCTCATATCTCCAATACCGGCAGGTGCCGTGGAAGGATTTATTTATATATATATATATATATATATATACTAGCGAGGTTGTTTGCCCTTCGGGCAAACAAACTCCCCTTAGTCGCGCCTTCGGCGCTCCCTTACCTTGGATAGTGATTAATTCATTCATTTTTTGCGAAATGGGAAACATGTATTTAAAGTACGTCCCCATTGAAATACGTGACATATGGGGTCGAAAGTCTTGATTTTTTTCATCAAAATCATTACCTCTACGATTCTGTGTGCCTAACTTGAAATCTTTTCTTGTGTCCCTTTTTGTAAGGGTGGAGAATACATTTTGAAAAACTTCCCTCCAATAATCTACGCTAAGGATACATATTTCAAAATTAGGATTTCTCCTCTACTCAGCCATCAAACAGGTACTTCTGAGGGAAGTTTAAATTTCCTGTCTGTTTCGTTGGATCAAAAAAAAAATAAGGAAAATGGGACTGAAAAAAGTGCACTAATGGTGTTAAGGAATTTTTTATTATTATTTTGAAATGTAGACTCAGGGAACTCCATGCCACCCAGTTTGAGCCTTATACGTTTCCCCTTTTTGCTGATGATAAAAAATATATTTATACATGTTATTTATACATTTATACAAGCCAGTCACCACTCTGGGGAAACGCTCAGCAAAAGTTGAATTTTTTCTTAAATCAACATCACGTCCGTTATGCGTGCGACAGCTGCTATTTTTCTATTTCTGTCCGATTCGCTAGGATATTAAAAATTCTTTGAAGACGTTACGTCCCCAAGAAATATGCCCCTAAAAATATTTTAGAAATTTGACATTTGAGCTGAGTGCTTCACCAGTCACGTTCTTGCCATGTTACAGCCTTCCATGGGTCTCCGTTTGTTTGAAGCAAAAAGAACTATTTAAAAAATATGTTCCCCGAAAAGGTGTGCCCCTATGGCGTGTATCACCCAAGTGGAATTTTTCCTGAACTCAGCATGTGAATAGCTATTTATATCAGTCAGTCACGATCGTGTATATATAATATGAAAGTAGAATTATGTCTTTACTCAGCTAGTCATCAGGTACTTCTTGGCAAGTTTAAACTTTCTAGCACCCTCCGTTTTGGTGGATCGATGCCCCCAGGGTATGGATAAAAAAATTTTGCATTTTTCCTTATCTCATCGTGTCGGTATGCACGTCCATGCCACATTTACGCTTTCCATGTCTCTCCGTTTTATTCAAGCAACGGGACATGGAAGGCAAGAGAAGCCAAAAAAAAAAACATGGAACAGTCGGGACTTGAAGCCAGGCCTCACGATTACCGGTCAGAAGTGCTACCACTACACC